TGGTGTGCAAGTCAAGATATTAGGAGATCTAGTAGATTTAGGAATTTATGGTAGTATGATATTTTCTAGCCTTAGGATTTAATATTTAATTATTTAATTAGTTTCCTAGTAAGAATAGATCTAGAGATAGTTGATATCTATAAATACCCCATGTACCTCATCATATTTAACATGTTGAATGAAGTATTGAATTGGTGAACCAATTGAGGGGGAACTTTATGTTCTTAACGTATGATAAAGAAGGCCATTAGTGCGTCTTTACATGCAGTGTCGGAGAGAAGGCCAATAGTGCGTCTTGAAGTCACGGTATCTAGAAGAAGGCCCTGAGTGCGTCTGCTAGATACATCTATCGGGGATAAACGAAGGCCGCAGTGCGTCGTTTAGTCGCACCCACGGATAGGTGAACACACGATCCGTCATCATTGGTGCTTTCATTGAGAGGGGCTGATCGTGTGGTTATCTATCTTATCTTTTTATTTTTTCGGTTTTGCCTTTTGGTGAGGGAACCGAATTTCTCTTTTTTTTTTTGAGTCGAAATTTTCGAATTATTTCGAATTTTTCATTAAAAAAAAAAGTGTCATCTTGTTAGTCCTTTGTTATTTTTTTCGGTTATTACCTTTTGTTAAGGGGCCTAATTTCTTTTTTGTTTTGATTTTTTGAGTCTTGTTGGGGGTTCGAATTTTTCGAATTTTTCCCCTATTATTTTCGAATTTTTATTTAGAGTAAAAAAAAAAAAAAAGAGAATCATGATGTTCGAGCCATTAGTTGAGTGGGATCAAGAGGATCTCGAATATTTGGAAGGTTTGGAGAGGGAATTAACCCCTTGGGAGCAAGAATATTTGGAAGAGATGTATGAGCAAAAGAAGGAGTATGAAAGACAACTCAAGATCATGGAGAGCAACAAGCCATGAATCGTGAGAAGGAGTCGTACATGACGACCGGAGGGGCCGAAGTGCTCGAAATCAAAGAGGAGATGTTTGCGATCGAGCGCGCGGATGATGTTGATGGTGAGGTCTCGGTCGAGTTCAAAGAAGGCAAGACAGAAGGAAACAAAGAGATCGGCGAGGTTCGAGAAGGGGGTGAAGAGGGCGTACATGAGGAAGTTACGTTATTAGTCCTAGAGGTCGAAGAAGATGTGCCCGATGTTTGGATGGTAGATGATAAATCC